CACCAGCCCCAGCACGCCTGGATTCTGCTGAGCAGTGAGCGTGCATGCGGAGGAATGCTGGGCTGGATAGGGATGGGGGCAATGCCCAGGGTGTTTCTAATGAGAAAAAACTGCAAGCACCTCAGGGCAGGACAGGCCACAGAACTGTGCTTGGGCTGGACGAGGAGCTTAGGGCTCTCAATGGTGGCAGGTGCTCAAAGAGGCTTTGGGGACATCCTGGGTGTTCCCAGCCCCCTGCTGCCTCCCACCTGATGAGCTCCCTTTCCATCCACCAGGCCTTGGCTCCAAGACTTGTGTTCTTCCTGGCTCTGCTGACCATCCAGCCTTGACTGCAGCACTTTAACCAGGCCAACATGGACACAGCCAAACGGGCAGAAGTGTGTGAGGAATATCTGCATCATGAGGTGACTTGGCTGCTGCAGGTGATAGAGGGAAAGAGGGGCACCGTGGAAGCCCCACTCCTTTCTGAAGTGCAGCAGCAGTGGCTGTTTCAAGGTGCTGTATCAGCCCTGGTCCAGGTCGCTGTGGGCTGCTGGCTGGACAGACAAAGGAAGCATGCCTCTGCCAGCTACAGGGAGCAGGACAGCTGCAGCAGCAAGGAGGAGGACAATGACCAGAAGTTCAAAGGTGCCCACAATGGTCTCAGATCTTTGTGATCACCACATACATCACTAATGGAAACATTCAAGCTGAGGCTGGAGGGGGTGTGGGTAACATGATTTAGTTTAGAGTGCCCCTCTTCATTGGGGCAATGATCTTTAGAGATCCCTTCTGACCCCAGCTATTCTGTGATTCTAAAGCAGGACCTACCTAGCACTTGAAGCATGGACCAGCGTGATAGAATCAAGACCAATCATTTTATCATCTTCTAAGATAATACTATGCAGTTCACCAAAATGATGATCCTAGCCCAATCCACAAAGACAATAAACAGCATAGGGGAGACATCCTGCAAGAAAGGTATTGCATAACACAGCCCTGATAACAAGTGCTTTTTACTTATTTTCTTTTGCTCTGAAAGGCAATAAATCAACCTTGTCACTAACAACTGCTAAACCAATGCAATGAATTGTCCCCAATAGTCCCTTTCTGCCTGTCACCCTGTCGTAGGCCTGTCTTGCAGCAGAGATGCTCCAGTGCTGCTCCCAGATCCCCTGAGCAAGAGGAGCAGAGGCCACATGTTCTCCTGTACTGCACACTCCACTCTCCCAGGCAACACGTGGTCATGGCCATCCATGCTTCCCTCCAGCTGCCTTGTCCTCTGCTGACTTTGACAAGTCAATAATATGGATTTGGGGACTGGGAGATTTATGTGGCACTTGGCTTTAGGGGGCCTGACCTGTTTTGAAATCCCCCAGAGCTTTGCAAAACCCTCACGATTTGGCAACACAGTTTTTCTGGCCCTCTCCCCAGTGTCTAAAGCTGTAGATGCAGGGAGAGACTGAGGGGTGGCAGTAGTCTGTGCCTGGCTCTGCACAGCTTGACAAGTTTCATCAAAGTATCTCAGATGCTCTTTGTGTGGTCCTCCCACTCCACCACGTAGTTCAAGGGTGTTGAACGGCAAGGATTCAGAGATGAAATGAGGCACTGGAGAGATGAGAAAACTGGAGCAGAGAGCAGAGGGAAGAGGCTGCTGAAAGTTCATGTGCTGGTATGTCAGTGGGGTGGCAACCAACAGCAGGGCTGAAAACTCTCTGGGGAGATCATCAGTCTGCCAGGCCAAAATAAAGAAATCCAAAGGTTGAAATTCCATGGGAGAGGTGGAGAGACAGGAAGGGAGGAGGGCAGAGGTGCTTCGGTTCTCATCATGGGGCTGTGACACCTGTGGGGAGACATGCTCCCATGCCAGCAGTTCCACAGTGCCCCGTGCTCCCAGAGCTTTCCCTGGCCCACCTATTTCTCTGTGAGGCTGCAGGGGAAAGGAGATGGGTGGAAGAATGGAGGAAATGCAAAGCTTTGCTGAACCATGACATAGCTCATGTCTTTCTCAGGCTGAGCATCACCTGGGAACAGCAGTCTGGATCCCACTGCCAAATCACAGGCCATTCAAATGAATAAAAAGCCCCTTGCAGCGAGGTGTAAACAGTTAAGCCAAGTGGACTGGTCCAAACCAGGAGGCAGCAGCAGCAGCTAATGGGGAAAAAACAGTGGGTGTGAAAGGGCTCTTTGTCCCAGCAGGAAGGCGAAGGGCACCCAGAGGGTGGGCACTGGGACGCACCCTGACCGGGACACAGGGCAGGCTTGTTTGCAGTGCAGGGTGCAGGCTGCAGAGAAGAGGTGCTTTCACATGTTGGTTCTTTTTGAAGCCAGACAAGCCCCTGCCTCGAAGGTGCTTTGACTAAACAACAGAATAGCTCAGCTGATGCACTGCAGAAGAGGAAGGCGGGCCCAAGGAGGAGCTCCAGCCCTTGCGCTGGAACAGCTCAGCAGTCCAAGACACCATGTACTGTCCTCCCCTCCAGCTCCTCCAGGCTGAGAGTGGGAGGCTGCACCTCACAGCAGACTTTGCAGCCTTGGGAAGATGAACTGAAGATGAGCACTGCATACACAGGGAGCTTTTTTTCCCTGCTGTAGAAGGCCTTAGAACCACAAAACAGAATTGCTGGGCCATGGAGAGGGCGGAGGGCCAGCAGCACCTGGGCAGGAAAGAGATGCAATCTCAACACCCTCCTTTCCTGACCCAAGAGGCACAGCAAATAAAGGAAAGCAGATAACAAAAGCTATCCCTGTCAGGCTCTTGCTGGGTCTGGCTTGACAAGGGGTCAGCATGAATTGTGTTTCCTGGCAGTGTGTGGATGTGCTTTTAGAGGGATATCCGCTGGGTAGCGTGGGACAACAGGACTTGGTCCACATCATAGAGGGGCCCAAAGCGAAGGGCAGGACTAGATAATGGCTTTGGGCATCCCCAGGAAATCCAGCCCATTTTGGTAACAGCAATGAGACACATCCGGCTGCTCTTCAATTTGAGTTGGAGAAAGTACAGCAAGCCAGGAAGAAACTTCCTGAACATTTGTCTGCTGCACTAATATTTGCTAGCTTCTACAGCTGTCCCTCAGGCAGGCATTCAGTCACTGGCAAAAGAAATTGCAACTAGTACAAAGGGTGAGCAGCTAATCCCATACCTGGAGAAGACCCTGACAACTAATAATGTGTGCATGCATGATCATGTGCTTGTGTGTTTCCTCATTGTCATAAACATGAACCCTCCATGGAGATATCAAGAACCTTGTGGCTTCCCCAGCTGCCAAACCAGTAGCATGCAGACTGTGGAAGGGGACACACCAGTGACATGGTTTATCACTGTGTACTTGAAGAGGATGGTGAGTTTGAGTTTGAGACCTGAGGTCTCGTCTGTGTTCCAAGGAAGTGATGGAGATGAGGGAACACAGTCCAAACCATGTGGTTATCATTCCAAGCCCCCCACAGCCACAGAGGTCCTGCAGACCCTCCATGCATCAGCTGGGGAGGGAGACCCACATCTCCTCTCCCAGTGCCTGTACCCACCCAAAGGACCAAACACAGCCATCAGTCTTGTCAAACTGCTTTAATATTTGGACATAAAGACAGGACAGAGCCAGTTAGGCTGTGCACAAACAAGATCCCCTTGAGCAACAGTGCAAGGCTGCTGAGCTTCCCTTCTCAATGGAGGTGTGGGTTTGGCCAAGATGCAGTTCAGCCGATGACCGCATCCTGAGCATGCCAGTGGGGTGCATGTGTTGGGTAGGGAAAAGGGATAGGGGCTTGCGAGGGCAGCTCAGAGGTTGTTCAGCTCCAGTAAGGTCTGGTCCAGGACCTGGTGTATCCCCACATTCTCCTCTTTGGCACTGGCCAGACTCTCTGTGAATACAAGGGACACCCAGCCACGCACACAGACACAAACCAAATGTACCCAAGTGCAGCGGGATGCACACACACCACACAAGCACACACACACACACACACACACACACACACACAGAGATGGATATTTCAGTACAGCAACAGCCCCCAGTCAAACAGGGCATCCCCTGTGGAGTATAGTCCACACAGGTAGCCCCAATTCTGGCAGGGATGAGTCCAGCCATCTGCCAGGGAAGCCAGGCCAGTCAGGCTGGTCACTGGGACAGGCAGTTACCACTCTTCAGCATTTCCATCTTCCCAGGTTGCCCCATTGCCCGTGGCTGAGCACTCTGCAGCACAGGTGCCACTGGCGAGTACCATTATTTGGCCAGACACTGGGGCATCACCACTGGCCAGCTGCAGGCACATGCACAAACCCTTGGCCAGCAGAAGCAGAGAACCGATGCCTGCTGCATGACCCAGCAGTGCTCCGTGAAGAAAAGAAGTGAGAAAGCAGCCCATGAACAGCCCAGGAGAGTGGGCAGAGGACAACAGAGATAAGGAGCAGAGCTAACAAGGCTACAAGGATAAGCTCTGCCAGGCAGCCTTCTGCCAAGGCAGCCTCCCTCTGGTGTTCACTTCCAAATGGCATCCTGCTTCCCCCAGAGACAGGAATGGAACAAGACTGCTGTCCACCCAGCCCTATCTCCCAGTGTGCCCTGCTAGCCTCTTCCCTGTCCCAAATTTGGGGCAGCAGGTGCTGCTGGATCCCCAGCTCTTTTCCCAACCTTCCCAGCACCCTCCAAGGACCTCTTTCTAAGGGGATCCATCCTGCACAATTTGGGGTGACCAGAGTGAGGAGGAAGAGGCTGCCCACTGACTCGCAGGACAAGGGGAGGAAGGTAGCAGTACAAACCACCACATCCCTCCCGAGTAGAGCCAGGATGATGCCAGAGGACATCCATGACTACATGGGCATCCCAGAACATCCCAAAACCTTTCATATCTCTCCCACAAAAACTGATTAACTCCAGAGGGGCGCCCTGTCCTGCCCAATCAGGGTAGTTACCCCTATGAGGAAAAGGCAAAGCTTCACACCCTGCCTCACCCCAGCGGGGAGGGGCTCCCAGCCTGGAGCCAGCCTGGCCAAAATGGGGCAGGGAGGCTGGGCCGGGGCCAGGAGCTCTGGGCAGCTCAGTTGTTAAGTTCAGTAAGGATGACCCGCAGCTCGTTAGTGAGAACACGGTTTTTCTCGGCCTCCTGCTGAGAGCGCTCTAGAGAAAATGGAGAGACATCAACGCAGCACAGGAAAGAGAGAGAAAAAAGTGAGTTAGTGAAAAGAGACAGCATTCCTGAAAGCCTTCACTGGAAACACCACAAGCCACCCAGCCAGTGGTGGGATACAGCTGGACTGGCAGGAGGCAGCCAGTCTTTGTGCAGGGACAAGGCTGTAGGTCCACCAATTTGGAAACTGGGTTCTGGGACAGAGTAGGGTGGTGAGGAAGGAGGAGGTGGATCAAGACCAATTTAGAGATCACAAGAGATCACTACTGAAGGGTAGCATGAGCCTCTTCACCAAAAGAAGGTGATGCAGGAGTTATGACAGGGATGAGATTGCTGCTTGTAGGCAATGTCTGAGAGTAGAGACAGGGAATGGACAGGACCAGGTCTAACCCTGATGTTTCACACCAAAAGACTCATGGAGAAGATGGCATGAGATGGGGAAAGCTGCGTACGAGAGTCAGGGGGTGGCAGGGGTCAGCACAATGGCCCCGTCCCGCTCAGCCTGGCAGCATGGGAGCCTCTTGGGTCTGAGCCATAGTCAGCCTGGGGGGCCCGTGGCTGTGAGCTGCCTGCAACCACCTCCTACCACACTGCTGACAGCACACACATGAGACAGGCAGGAGATGAGGGACAGAGTGGCATGAAGAAAACAAAGGAGAAACCAATGTCAAAATTTTATTGATATCAACTCATTAACCCAGAGGGACAGAACACAAAAGAAAAGTCATGAGATGCAAACTGAAGAGCAATGTGCAAAGGACAGAAGGGTGAGGGAGGAGTGAGGGTCGCCTGCCTGCTGGGGAACAAGGTGTCTGCACAGTTGGATCCAACCCTCTATCCCCCAGGCCTGAGCTTTGGCAGTGAAGGTGCCGCTTCCCCAATGCAGGTCATCCCCATGCTGGGGCCAGCAAGCAGCACCAGGGGACTTTGCTGGAAGTATATGGGGGGGGGAAATGGCCCCCCAGCCCTGGAGCTGCAGGGTCCCCAGTGCTTCTGCTGCTGGGGAGCCAAGGAGGGAGCTGCTGGAACAAAGGGCTTCTGGGCACAGTCCTGATCCCCAGGGCAATGCTGTGGCATGGGCCTACAACTACACTGTCCAGTCAGTATGTGGGGCTGCTCTCCTGCCCTGAACAAACAGCTCTAAGCACCTACACCTTGTCTCCCCAAAGAGGGGTACAGCGGGAACACCCCGGGTCAGCTCCTGTCCCAAAGGAGCTGATGGACAGGCACAGGCTAGGTAGGACAGAGAGGGTAGGGAGAGAGGTGGGATGGACAGGCAGGCAAATAGCTGAGCTGGGGAGAGACAGGCAGGGAGCAGGTGCAGTGCTGGTGCCCAGCGTGGGGCTCAGAGCGAGGTGATGTCATTAAGTGCATTGTCCAGCTCCTCGCTGATGGCTTTGTACTTCATCTTCTGCGCATACACTTCATCTGCAGGTGAAGGCAGGCAGGGAGCAGATGGTGGAATAGAGTGGAGGACACAAGGTGGAGAGAGAGAGTGGCTGTGAGCAGCGGGCTGAGGGCAGCAGGGGTGTGCGGGCACAGGCAGCATGCATGTGACCCTATTGCCTACCCGAGGGCAGGGCCCAGATCCCAGGAGCTCTGTGCTCCCACACCAGATGCCGCAGCATCCAGCCGCTCTGCTCCCAGAAATCTGGACCACTCCTCCCTCTGGCCAAGCACTGTCCAGCCCCACCAGGGGCATGGTGTGTCCAGTGCCACCCCAGGAAAGAAGGACACGGGGCTGGTGGGGACATTTTACCTTCTAGGTCATCAATGGTTTTCTCCAGCTTCGCCACAGACCTCTCGGCAAACTCCGCCCGGGTCTCAGCCTGTGGGAAACACAGCGGGGAAAGGGTGAGCTGCAGGACTCACAGTGGGTGGTGCAGGCTGCACTGCACTCCAAATCTGCCCCATTTGCATCTCTGGCACCCTCTTCCAGAAGCCCTCTCATGGGAAAGGCAAGGGACAAGAAGGCTCCATGAAGCCTCACACCCTAAATCAGAACAGACTAATGAAAGTCATCCCAGACCACCTGCTATGATGCTGGGTTGCAATTTAGGAAACTGTGAGAGGACATAGGCATAATGGGGTCAAAACCCATTCCGGATGGCACGCACTGATTCTGTGGCAGCCCTCCAATCCTTACCTCCTTCAGCTTTTCCCCTAGAAGCTTGATTTCCTCCTCGTACTTATCCTCCTTGGTGGAATACTGCAGAGACAGAGACAAGCACCTGTGAGTCCCCAGGCATGCCTCCAGCTGTCCTTCACCCCAGCAGGAGACTGCAGCATTCCCAGACCCCACGCATTCTTCCCCACCCTAGCAGCCTCCCTGGGTCGTACCTTGTCAGCCTGGGCCTCCAGGGACTTCAAGTTGTTGGTGACAATTTTCAGCTCCTCCTCTAGGTCACCACATTTACTACATCCCAAGCAGGGCCGGCAGGAGGGGGGGAGCAGGGCCAGAGGGCAGGAGAGAGGCAGGAGCAGAAAGAACAGGCATGGGGAAGCAGGAAAGAAAGAGAGAAAACAAGTTGAGAAAGGAGAAAACTCAGTGCAGGTGGACCAGGAGCAGAGCCACTGCGAGCAGGAGCTGCCAGGACGCATCTGTTCATCCGTTCCTTGTGCTTCCTTGCACGGATACCTCGTGCATCACCACCAGCCAAGCTCTTGCTGGCCCCACCAGGGAAGCAGGGATGGAGGGATGGAGGAGCATGCCCGGCCTGCACCTGCTGGAGAGGTGGGCAAGGGAAGGCTGGTGCTGGAGGCAGTGGTGCAGAAAGGAGAGAGGTGGCTCGCATGGTTCGAGAGACAGCGACAGAGAGAGGGGGCTGCTGCACATCGCCCCGCACCCCTGCCCCAGTACCTCTTCCTCTGAGGCAATGAGGGATTTGAGAGACTGGTCCATGGTCCGCAGCTCTTCTTCCAACTGTCTCACTCGGCTGGGATGGAAGAGGGGCACCCCGGGAGGGGGACAGCAGAGAACAGGGTCAAAGATATGATGCCAGTGGGTTGGCACACCCCTACCCCCAGCCTGCAAACCCAAAGACCACCCCAGTGACAGACCCTGCTGCTTCCAGGGACAGACATCCCCCTCCCCATGTCTGCCAGGGATTTGGGACAAGGGTTGTGTGGGGCCCCTGCATGCTGCCCACCAGGAGCCCCACTCACCTCTCCGCCACCTCTGCCCTCTCCTCGGAGCGCTCCAGCTCTCCCTCAAGAACGACCAGCTTGCGGGCAACCTGTTGATGGCAGCGAGTGACCCATGTTAGCCCTGTGCCTGCCTCAATTGGGGGCATAGGGCTATAAGGAGATGGCTCTGGGTGCTGCCAGGGTGTCGGACTGGGGAATGGGGTACACACCTCCTCATATTTGCGGTCAGCCTCCTCTGCTATGTGCTTCGCCTCCTTCAGCTGCATTTCCTGGAGTTCCATCTTCTCTTCATCCTTCATGGCCCTGTTTTCGATGACCTTCATGCCTCTGAGGAAAGACCATGCCAGATTTTACTGCTTGTGGGTCAAGGTGTCATCTGCACATCCTGCCTGCCCATCTGCACATCCTGTACCCTAATCACACCACCCTCGAGCTTCAGAGACACGGGACATTGCTCAGGGAGGATGGCATACAGTAGGATCACACCACCAGTACCCTAAAAATGCTCCTGTGGAGAATTACAGTGGAACTGGCCCCAGGGCTATGTTCCAGAGTGAGGTATATCTATGGTGGCACTCAAGCAGGCAGGTTCTGACCCCATGTTTGGTGGGAAAAGGTGTCCAGCCCAGGATGAGCCAGCCACAACCTCCACAAAAACAGCCTGACAGGCTGGAAGCCCTTAGGAAATATTGGAAAACATCCTGTGGCAAAGCCTTTTTCATTTGAGGTGATGCTCACAAATAGGGAATTACCAAACCCCCACAAAAGGAGACTCTCCTCCTCTCACTCAAAATCTGTTGCTCAAACTGATCTTTGCCAATGAGGGAAGAGCTCACATAACTGCCAGAAACACTGTAACATGCTGGGTGCTCCCATACAAACTGAGTGTCCTTGCCTGCACAGCTCCAGTCTGGGAAACATACTTGCCCTGAGGATGGGGCAACATACACCCTCTAGAAGTCTTTTTGAATGAGGCTGTCTAGTCCTCAAATCTGACCTTCATTACCAGCACAGAGGTTTTCTCTTGGGTTCTTATTTTGTCCTTGGGCGTCTTAAGCTGCTCTGGGAAATAAAACATGCTCATATCGTCCTCTGGCTTTGGTTACAGTCTGGTGCTTTTATAAATGCCAGATAAAATTTTTCAGGATATTATGTGTGCTCTGGATAAGAGTGTCTGTATCTGGGGGACTTCTTTGCATTGTGGCTTTGCTCTCTCCCTTTGAAGTCTGCAGGAAAGTGAACAGAAACCCCAACAAGGTCACCTCAGAGGGACCCCCACTGCAAAACTAAGGGGGCTGTCTGGAGTCCATGGTGACCTGACACCATTCCCACTGTCCCTTTCCATCCCACCTCTCGCTCTCATCAGCCGCCTTCTCAGCTTCCTCCAGCTTCTGCAGGGCAGTGGCCAGACGCTCCTGGGCGCGGTCCAGCTCCTCCTCTACCAGCTGGATACGGCGGTTGAGGGAAGCCACTTCAGCCTCAGCCTGGGGGAACAGAAACCCCTCAGTCACCCCATGTCAAATACATAAATTGTAAAAAGCATTTTCAATTATTACTCCTGTTTACCATCCGGAACGCCCCTTGGCACTGCGTGACAAGCCCATGTTCACTGGAATGGCTTGCCTGACCATGCGTTCCCTTGCCTCTCTATAGGGTTATCTCCATCCCTAGTGGCTGTTTGATGCTGGCTTCTCCCAGCTTTGCCATGTGCAGCCCCACCATGTCCTCACACTTCCAGCTCCCGCCCCGGAGGGGGACAGGGCACGTTCGCTGGGGCAGGGTGGCCATAGCAGCCGTGCCGTCACGGGGATGGTATTTGGGGTTTGCAGAGCAGTGAGTAAAGGGGGAGGAATGCCCCGTGCAGCTTCGCTCCCGAAAAGGAGATCGGAGCTGCTTGTGGATTTCCTGTTTACAGAGGCGGTGGAGTGAGCCGGGAGCTTCTCCTGCAGGAGCCCCCAGGGCCCTGTGCAACAGGGCAGCCTGAAGCCGAGCACGGAGCCCCCCCAGCTGATGCACAGCACAGTGCCGGGGGCAGTGGAGCGAGTCGCCCTCGGCAGGCTGGCGCCTGGCCAAGATGAGGCTGGCAGGACCAGAGCCCTCCCTTTCCCAGGCTCCCCACGCACAGGGCTGGGAGCTGGGGCCGGCCAGGAGCAGTGGCCCTGGCCCTCCGCCAGCCTGTTGACGCCTGGCCTTGCACTCTTTCCATTTGGTAAAGGCCTCCTGCTCCATCGCCACAGTCAGGAAATGCTGCCTCAGCAGCTCTCAGCCCCGCTTCCCACTAGGAGGGTGCGAGGAAGACAAACTCCCGAATATCAAGGGATGGGTGGCAATAAGATCTCACTGTGAGGAGCAGCTCCATGCACCAACCCAGGAGACAGAGGCTCCTGCTTGTATTCACAGGCTGCAGCAGGACTGGCTGGCTGCAGTGCCTGGACACAGCCAGCCTCATGCTCCAGCTCTGGGAATGCCCCCGGGAATACTAGCCAAGCACAGGGACTATGGGAGCAGCAAGGGACTGTCACCCTCCATGGCCCTACTGAGCAATCCCCTGTGGGGAGCTGACGGGGTGGGGACAGGCGCAGCCGGCACCTCTTTGAGGCGGCTGCCAGCCCCACAGCTGCCAGCCCCACAGCCGCCACCGCCCCATGATCGCCCTTTCTACAGACACTCAGAGACCTCGTCCTCTGCCAGACCGCCTAATGGGGAACAGGAGCTGGCGCCCACAGGGCAGCGCTGTGCCTGCAGCATCAGCCTCACTGCGTCGGTAGATTTTTTTTTCCCGGGGAATCACCCCCAAAGTGGGTCAGAACTGCCCGGATGGACACTTGGGAATATGAGCTCTCCCAGCAGCTCCCAGTGACCAGGGAACCCGATCTGAGGCTGCAGGAAGGGGCCATTTCCTCCGCACACAGCCCGAGTGACAACAACCCGGGTACCGCACCCAGCTCTGCCGCTCCTGATATGGTGAGAATGTTGAATGAGTGGGCATAGGAAAAAGAAAGAAAGGAAGAAAACAGAAAGCTCCAACAACTACAAAGACAAACCAGAAAAAAGCTAAAGCTTGGGCATACCATCCCGCTGCCAAAATGGAAATTTTGGCCTGGGGCAGTGTGAAGGGGTGGTGTGTCCCCACGAAGGGACAGGCTGGAGCTCAAGCTCTGCGGCCCGAACGGCTGAGTCCGCTGGAAGCCGCACAAGAGCCTGGGCGTGGGATTCTGAGCTGTGCACGCCGGCCTGCGAGGGAAGAGCTCCGTTCGCAGGAGGCACCCGATCCCAAGGCAGGGCTGGCTTTGCCCGCTCCCGGCCAGCCGGGGAGCCCAGGGGAGCCCCGCCGCCCGCAGCATCTTCTCTCGCCACACCGACGGAGGAGGGAGGCGGCGGGCGGAGGCCGCCCGAGGCAGGCACTGCCCGAGCTCCCTGCCCCGGGGCTCTCGCCAGCTGGAGGCGGCTCCCCGGGAACCTCCCGGCGCTGCTGCGCCCCGGCGGCAGCCGGCCCGGCTACCGGGGCTCAGGGCGCCGGGGCCGGCCCGCCAGAAGCGATGCCGGGGCCGGCGGGGGATCCCGAGGAGCTGCCGGGTGCCCCCCGCCCTCCCTCTTCCCATTCCAGCGGCCCTTACCCGCTCCCGGGCCTGCCGCTCGGCATCGGCCTCCCGCTGCAGGTGCTCGGCGCGCTCCTCCGCCTCGTCGGCCACCTGCTGCAGGCTTTGGATCTTCTTCTTGACGGCATCGATGGAGCTGGCGCTGGCCATGGCGGGGGCTGCCGGCGGGGAGGCCACACCGCCGAGCCCTTTGTGGGATCCGCCCGGCTCGGGCAGGAAGCGCTCAGGCAGCGGCCGCTCCCGCCGCCCGCCCTGCCTCCATCCCTTCCTGCTCCTCCTCCTCCTCCTCCTCCTGCTGCTGCTCCTGCTCCTGCTGTGCTGCCTCCGGCTGACCTGCTCCGCCGCTCCCCCGGGCGAGGCGTGCGGTGCTCACCCACGGCAGGAGAGAGTTCCCACGCCGGGAGGGATGCACAGTGCCCCTCATCCCAAATAGGACAGAGGGTGCCCCCGGGCAGCGTGCGTGGTCCCCCCCAGGCTTTGGTCACTGTCTCTACATCCCCGCCAAGGCAAGATGCATAGCTGCTTCTGGGCAGGGCACAGTGTCCCCCCACCCTGGGTCACCACACGTGGTCGCAGGTGGATGCATGATCCCATGAGGGGGTACATGGTACCCCAGAGAGGGCACACAGTGGCCCCAAGGCAGGGCACACACTTCTCTCCGTGCCCAGGATGCATGCTGCCCCCCAGGCGGGGGTGCACAGTCACACTGAAATCCCCCAGGGCAGTGGAGAGGAGCTCAGGGAAATAGACTGTTTTCCAGCAGTCCACGGAGTCTGTGAGTGCTGGAGCCTGTCCTGTGGAGCCCCCATGGCCACAGCAGCAATGTACCCATGTGTAGTCCCCAGGTGCTGCCCTCCCCAGCCATTGCTGCAGAGCTAAGGAGGGTTGGGGACTTTTTCGTTATGGGAAGTCAGTCAGAGGCATGAGCAGAGCCTGCTCCTGGGCTTTCTCCAGGGGTACCTGGGCTGCAGCCAGGTGCCCAGCATCCATCACGTTCAGTCCCTTGGTATTTGCTCCCCAATGTGAGGACCTATCCTGCAGCCCCACAGAGACTCATGGGGCCCATGGAGACCCTGGCACCTCCAGCCTCGGTGACTGTGCCCTAAGGGGGAGGTCAAAGCTCCCCAGCTCCTGGCTCTCCATCCTGGCTGGGGCACATGTCTTGATCCATCAGAAGAAGTTGGAGCTGCTGGCACTCAATCCTCCCTTAAGATGTACTGACAGCTCCCTGGCTGCACTTCACACCTGCCTCCAGGAATGCCAGCTCCCAGGTTGACCTCACCAGCTGGCATCAGCTCCAGGGCCAGGGGTCCTGGGGGTGTCTCAGCCCCGCTGCTATCTGCACCCTGCAGATCCGTGTCCCCTTGCCAAGAGGCAGCGGAAGAGGCGATACTGTGGGTCCCCTGGGAGCACACAGCCTTGGGCTTGGCTGTGGGCCTTGCTGGTCCTGCCCCTTTCCAGTCCAAGGCCTGGATGTCAGCAATGCACAGGCCAGGACATGGGGCCCAGTGCAGGAGCAAGGGTTCCTGGCAGCAGTGGGGCAGGGACGAGCCAGCTGCAGGCAGAAGGGGGACAGGTTAGGGGGCAGCCACCCTGATCCCCCAGTCACCAGGCTAGGTGCCTCCTGCAGTGGCCCCACCCCGAGATGCAGTCACTTCCCAGCAGAGTCCAGTTCCCTCCCACCAGCTCAGGGAATCGCCAAATAAGAGCAAAGTCTTGGCTGGGGAGAGCAGCTGGGGCGGGAACACGGGTGAAGCTTTTGGGATCACGGCCTGGGAACGGCAGAGTTTCCCTAAGGCCCCTCTGGGGTGGCTGGGGACAGGCCAATGCTGGGGATGTGGGGCGGTGGAGAGGGCTGTTCTGCCCTAAACCTCTTGTCCCAGCTGCACCATTTCCAGCAGCCCTTGCCCATCCTGACCTGGGCACCATGGGCTAACCCTCCTGGTGACAAGAGGTTCTAGGACCACAGTGGGCTCGCAGAGCTGCTGGGAAGCTTTGTGGAGTTGCTGATCAAGAATCAGGCATTCCCTGCTCTGCACTCTCTGACACTTCTCCAAGTGCCTCGGGTAAAGTGTTTGCACTCTTTAGTGCAGTCCCTATGGCTTTCCTGCCCCACCATCCAGTGCCAGCAGCAGGGCAGGGCCATACTGAGGTGGGTGTTTATTCTTTTAAGGCAATGACATTTTTGCCAAGAGCAGAAGGCTGCCTGCATGGCTGGTGTGAGCCTGAGCCCAGTGAGGAATTGAGACATGCTGTGCTCACAGCACCCGCTGTCCTGGCAGCCAGGGAGGATACGGGGCTGCCTGGGGTGAGTGTGCTCTGGGGTCCACCCAGTGCTTCCTCTGCTGGAAGCAGGAGCTTGCTGTACCTCGCACCAGGGAGGAGGTGACACCAGCCCTGGCACTTAGAGCTGTCAGCACATTCTGGTCCCTGGTGAGGAGGGGACTCCCAGAGCCCCACACATGGCGCAGCCTGTCCAGGCTTTGGCATGGACCCGGGAGGGCTGTGCTGGTGATGGAGCCCTAGCCCTGATGCAGCCAGCCTCCAGCCTGACACAGCTCCTTCACCACGGCTCCTGCTCTGGCCCTTTCTGGTGGCTCCCATCCACTGTATCTTCTGATATGGGACTCTTCAAGCCCATGGATTTGCCAAATTGCTGTGGACCAAGCTCAGGGAAACACCCTCCCTGCCCAGGATAGCATCGCACAGCCCACTGCCAGCAGCAAACCACTCCACACCCCACAGCTGACATCTGCCCAGTCTTTGTCTGCCCCTTCCTCTGAGCCCTGCACTGCGAACGTCACGTCCACTCTCAGCCACACTGAGTTTGCCCTGTCCCATACCAGGACAGAACCATTAGATCAGTGTGAGCCCCACTGCACACAGCAGCCACCTTGCCCAGCTTGACATGCCTGCCCCATGCTAGGTCAAACGTGCCCTTCCAGAGGATTCTCAATGTTTTAAAGGAGAGTCATCTGTAAGACCAGCAAAGAGGTCTGAGGAGACCCCTGGCGGCTGGCCAGGGGCTCTGGGCTGCCACAGGACTGGTGCTGCCATTGCTTGTCCTTGTCCGCTCACCCCTGTCCTTGGCGGCGGCCTCAGAGATTTGACGCATCTCCCCCATTTAGCTCCATAAACCAGCTGGGATTGAATTTTTTGTTCTCAATCCTGAAAAGCCTGGCCATGCACTGCTGGCTGTGCTCCAGACGGCTCTCCTTTAGCTTCTCCTCCAATTTCCAGGGTTGGTTTTCATCAAAGAGGGGCTGGCTATCAAAAGGAGTATTTATTTATAGGGTGTCAAATACCCTGTGTGGCACCACAGGTCGTTATACCCCATTCCCAAGCGGCCCCGTGGCCGCACACAGCTGTTCCACCCTTCATCCTGGCCAGGCACAAGCCAATTTCAACACCTTCCTAACATCTCCCCAGAGGGATCTATTTCCCAGGAGAAACATCAGTCATGGCACTAAATAAAACTCTTCCTGGCCTTGTCCTTCTCAGGGTACGAAGTAGAACACTGGACCCCAAATCCACCCAAATCCCCTTCCATACACCCCAAACATTCTTCCTTGCAGGCAGCACTCAGCAGTTAATCACAGCAAGAGATTTTTCTGTTTCTCTGATCTGCCACAGTTTAGCAAGCACCACAGTTTTTCCTACGAGCATTGAGGATGTGTGTGCCGGGGGACTTGTGACACAGCTTGGGACACTTGTCCCCCTTAGCTTTGGGGAGCCAGGCTGCAGGCTACCCCACAAAGCTCAAGACCGGACCAGCAACCAGCACTGTTCACCACAGGTGGCCTGCCCCCCGGCCCACACAGGACCCATCAGCCCAGTTCAGTGTCAACATCGAAGGAATGGGATCCTGACAGTCTTCCCCTCGGACGCTTTCCATATAAGGGCCCCCTCTTCCTTTAACCCCCCCGAGGTCTAGAGCCTGTGTAGGGGAGGAGCTGCTGGCGTGCCTACTTACATCTGTAGCTTTCTTCTCCGCCTGCTCCAGCTTCTCCTGGGCCTCCTTGACAGACTCGGAGTACTTCTCCACCTCATCCTCAGTGCCCTTCAGCTTCTTCTGCAGGCCCTGCTGTTCTTCCTCCAGCTGGGGAAAGGACAAAGTGTGGGGTTCAGGGGGGCTGGCAGTGTCTGCAAGGCTGGAAGGGGATCTGTCCTCCCATTCTCCTCCTGGGGACACCCAGCCTGTGTGGGGCACAGCGGGACAACATGGACATGGACGTGTCCTCTGACAGCTTTGGGTCCTTGGGGGGCTCTTGGAGTACAGCAACTTCTTGGAACCCCCTCATCCCTGAGCCTGGTGGAGGTAAGGGGGTGATGATCTCCTTCCCTGTATAGGGCACTGGAGAGCTCCTGTCTTGGGGATACAGCTCTGGGGGGCACCAATCTGTGTTCCCATCTCTGTGGCTGCAGTGGGAGTATGCAGTCCCCAGGGCTCTCCCTGGCACAGGGATAGGGAGGTGGAACTGGGGCGTCCCACTGAGATAAGACATGTTTGGGGGGACCAGTGTAAGGGGTCAAGGGTAAGAAACTGAAGTGTTGGTTCCTGGGGAACATGGGGTTCCTGGATCCACATGGGGTGATGTCCTTGGGGACATGGTCGCAGAGAGGGAAGGTCTTAAGGGCTGTCAATCCCTAGAGCTGGCATCCACAAACAGGACACCCAGTGGGGCAAGGTCCTTGGGCCAGGACATGCTTAGGACAGGGGACTCCAGGCTGAGGAACAGCGTGGGGAGCTCAGTATGGGGATTGCGTGATCCTAGAAAGTGAGTACAGTGTCCCCAGGCTGGACAATCTGTGGGATGGCATCCCCAGGGCTGGGCACCCAGCAGGATGGGGTTTCCAGGACTGGACAACCCTAGGGTGGAGAGTCCCCAGGCTGGACTCCCAGAAGAACAGAGTCCTGGGGCTGGACACCCCTCGAGTGGAGGGTACCCAGGTAATGCCGGGGAACCCCGTGGGAGACTCACCTGCTTGCAGCGATCCTCCGCCTGCTTCTTATCAGCCTCCGCTTGCTCGGCGCGGTCGATGGCATTCTCCTTGTCCAATTTCAGCATCTGCATCTTCTTCTTGATGGCCTCCATGGTGGCGGGGTGTCGGCGACGAGGCGCGGGGCGGCAGAGGGACGCGGAGCACCGGGAGCGGCGGGAGCACCGGGAGCGGAGGGAGCACCGGCACTGCGCTCCCCGCCCCGCCGAGCTGCCTAAAAGCTGGGGAGGGGCCGTGCCGGGCGGGGGCTGCCCCGGTACCTCCCCCGCCGCCCGCCAGCACCTTTTACGGACTGGCTCGCCACCGGCCCTCGCACCGAGCGGGACGGGGGGGGCGGCCCCCGGGCGGGCATCGCCGCAGTCCTGGCGCCCGGCACCCACCGGGGAACAGGGCGAGGGACACCCCGGGTCACGGCGCTGGGGACAGTCCGGTGGTACTGGGCAAGAGGCGCCCCGGAATAGTGGGATAGTGTGCTGTGGGCAGCCTGGTGGCACAGGGTGATGGACACCCCGCGGCAGCGCTGTGGTGGTACCCCGTGACACTGGGTGAGGGACACTCCGTGGCACTGTGCTGGGGTACCCCAATGGCACCGGGCTGGGGACATCCTGGGGCACTGAGTACGGGCACCCCGGTGGCACTGGCCCCAATTAGAGCTGTCCTCATGCTAGTGCCCTAGGTACACCACATGCCCTGTCACAGCACCCTGGGGCCTGAGGGACCCTGCTTGCTGGCACTGGCTTGGGGACACCTCAAGGGCTGGCATGGCACTTGGGAACACCAGTGGGCTGGCACTGAATTGTAGGGGTCACACTCAGGCTGTGATCGCACTGAGGGACACGTTTGGCTGGCACTGCCCACATGGGGAAAATCCCCCAGGAGAGAAGTGAGCAGAGCCCCTGACTTTCCCATCCAGCTTCTGGTGAGGCAGGAGGGCCAGGGCTCTGTGCAGACTTCTTGGCACCCACCGTCCTTCTGTCTTGCACCTTGGTGCCATTGTCCCTGGCACCCACAAGGACACCTGGCACATGCACAGCCCCTAGAGTGGCATTTTAGAGTGACACAGGGCATACAGGCAGCTCACTGCCCCTCTTCATCTTTCTGCTCTAAATAAACTGTATTCCACAGGCAAAAAAATGCAAACCCTTCAAATCTCAGCTCCTCCAAAAATAACCTGTACTTTAATAACGATCGTAAATGCTTCTGGCACATTCCCAGCTGCAGGGTGGGCTGTGGGCCGGGGGGGCTGGAAGGAGCTGGTGGAGGGGCCATGGGAGCCGTGTGGCATGTGTGGAAGGCTGGGATGGGATGGGGACAGAAGGGGTGCACAGGCCCCCCCAGCCTATTGCCCCTGGGCTGCAGCCAACCCTTGCTTGACACAACTTCTGTGTACCAGTGCACCAAGAAGAGAGGAACAAAAAGTTTTTGACAGCTGGAGAAAGTGCCTTTTAGGAGCCCTCAGGCCCGGATGGTGGAGGGCATAGGAGGGGTGGGAGCAGTCAAGGACCAGCAGGCTGCTGGCTCCATGGGGAAAGCAGAAGAGCCGCTGCTGGACTCTGGAGAGAAGCTATTAGTACTGATAAATTAGGCACATATTTGGACAAGGAAGTCTGTAACTGCCAGCGTGTGGCTTCTGAAGGGAGGGGGAAGATTCATCTCCTGTCATTCCTGGGAGAGAATAATTGTTTTTCTGCGAGATGTTTTTCAGCCTGGAGCAACTTCATGCCCTTGAGCAACTTCACGTGCTCAGTGCATGGGGCAAATATAATGATGGCCATGGTGCAAGCAGCGAGGAAATTGCCCTGGAGCCAGGCCAGACCTCAGATGTGCCCCCAAAGGATGTTATTCTCTCTCTCTGCTCTCTTTGTCCCAGCCTCATAGCCATGTCTGATGGACACTGCTGGAGTCATCTGGGAGCCAAGGTCCATGACTCTGCCCTTAAGCCTGACCTCTGAGTAACCTGTGAGAGAAGGGAGTGCAGAGAGACATGGGTGCACGTACCTCCCTTTGCTGCCCCATGCCCAGCCTTGTCCTGGACTAAGGTCTCCAAGGGTGGCAATCACCTCCATATTTCACACTAGGGTCCGACCTTACTCCCAAGGAAAACTTGGTGACTACTGGGACCTTTCCAGGTGCAATCCCCCATTGCCCCATCCCTGGACTCCCCAAGAAGTTGGGACGTGGTTTGCCCAATAACCTCCAACTGAACTGAATTTGGATCCCTGTGGTGGCTTGGTACCTTATGGCTGGGTCATCCCAGCTCCAAACTTCTGTATGTGCTTTCCTGAACCTGCCGGCCAAAATAACCCTTTGATCAGTGTGCGAGACTGAGGGACGATGGTTAATCACACCCCCGTGTCCCTCCCCTGGTATTTATGCCACCGCCTCTTGCTTGTACCCAAGCTGGAGGACACAGCAGTGGATGTGCTCACAGCCCTGTGCAGGGGGTGCTGGAGCTCCCTTGTCCCCAGCATGCCAGGACGAGGCCAGAGCTGCTGCCATGCTGTGCCCGCTCACTGTCCTTGCTGGACACTCCGAAGGGCCCCATGTCCAAGCCGGTACCTGGGTGAGAGCCTGGGTCAGGGCAGCGCAGATTGTCAGGGGACAGCTGGGAGGACTGGGATGCCTGTGAGAGCCACAAATCCCCCCTGGAGCCTGGCCAGGGGTAAGTGTCTTAGGAGAAACAGCCCCTCCACACCCCCAGGGACGTGACCACAGAGGGACGGGGGTTGCTGTTGGGGATAATGCAGGATGCTGCCCTTGCCACTGATGTTTGTAGCTCACAGTACCAGAACAGCCCCAGAGGCAAAGGACACGTGCCAACCTGCCTGTGCCCCGTTGCACCCCGCAACGTCCCTGGTGCACCCCACATCACCTCTGCCTGCCCTGCCACTGCTTAGGCCCCCCAAATCCCTGCTGAGTGACAGGGTGGGAACAGGTGGGGACATGCTGGGGCAGCTGCTGCCCGCACAGGTTGGCTCTGGGGGGCTATTTCGGGGCGTGAGATCAACGCTGGCAGCCGGGAAGGCTCCGGCCACATTCCCAGACCCACACCACAACAGACTGCTGCTTTCCCACTGATGGCCCACCAGTGACTATGGGGTGGGAGTCACCCCACCTGCACTCCTACTGCACCCTACCCAGGAGTATATATGGCTGGTAGCAGGAATGGGGCCAGGAGCTGAGCTCCAGACACAAATACCCACCCTGCCTTCCCTGAAGCCCAAATCCCCAAGAAACAAAATCCCCAAGATCCCCTCCTGCAGTGGTGGCCCCCCGGCAGCACCTGCGAGGCCAGCACATGGCTGGCAGCGGGGGTCCGGCCTGCCGGGTGCCTGGGGCTGGACGTGCCTCAAATATTTTCCATGCTGTATAAGCACCCGTGGTACACTCCCCCCCTCCCTTTGCTGGGAGAGAAGGCGCCCAGGCCCCCCTGCCCTCCCCTTCTCCTGGAGAGGCCCATTGATACCCAGTTGGCAAGAAAGCAGGAAAACCAGATTTTATTGATGAATGCGTCTTTCTGAGGAGACACTGGCATCCCCCACCCCACCCCGGGGTGGGAGGGAGCTGGTTTCCTTCAATCTTTAATATGGGATGCTTAAAAGTATCAAAATGGTGAGAGAAGCCTCAGCAAGTGCAAAGGGGAAGGGACAGGGGTCCCGGAGCCGAGGAGGGGTGGGATGCTGGGCTACAGGACCCCGGCAAGAGCTGGGTGTTAGTGTGCAGGGCATGAGCAGGCAGGGAAATAAATGAACTTTGGAAGCTGCAGGCTCAATACTAGAGAAATGGAAAAGTTACAAAAATACTGCAAATCTTGGAAAACAATGCAGGCACTTGGGAAGAAGGAGGAAGGCAGAGCTGGCTGGGGCCGCAGTCAGGGGGAAGCCCTGCAGGAAGGCAAAAAACAGCTCTGGGAGGGAAATCATCACATCATCCCCCATCCTGAGTGGAGGCACTGTGGCTTACAGCCCTGCTGCCCCAGAGGGGCCTGGGCTGAAAAAGATACTCATGGGGTGGACGCAGGGTCTTCCAGAGTACCTGCAGAGGAAGATTCAGCCAGCAATAAGGCATTGGAGGTGAAAGGCAGCTCCACGTGAGAGCTCAGCGAGGGGTGGCTGCTCCCTGCATGCTATGGCAAAGAAGAGGGGAAGCCACCCGCCTGTCCCCATCCCACGTGGAGGAGAGAAAAAAAGGGGCACGAGAGGGAAGGAAGAAGGCACAAGTAAATATCCCCTTGCAGTGGAGAGCTCTGTGGGCCCGCACCCCGGGGCTGGCGGGTGAGCCCTGAGCCAGTGCAGCCCCGGCTCCCACCCCAACCGAGTCCCTCCGAGCGCTCTGATTGTGCCTTGGGTGTGCATGGGAAGGTGGCTGGGCAGCGAAGCGGAGTTGCTGGTGCGGCACCGGCTTGGAGGGGCAGCTGAGTTAGTCCCGTTGCTCTGGGTGCGGGCAGAGCTCTGGTCTAGCCCAGACAGCCCTTTGCTTGTGGCGGGTCGTCTTAAATAGGAGCAGGCAGGTGGGCAGGCGGCAGTCTGTGCGGTGAGCGGAGGGCGTGCGGCTCAGTTCTGCTCCTCGTCCCGCAGCTCCGAGGGCAGGAACTTGTACTGCTGCTGCCGGATCATGGCCAGCTTCTTCCGCGCCTCCTCCAGCTCCCGCTCCTTGCGCAGCATCTCCTCCTGGGCGGCGATAATCTGCCAGGAGAGAGCCCCAAGGTCACAACTGCCTCCCATGGGGATGGCCAGAGCCTCTGCCACAGCAGTGCCAATGCCAGAGCTGCGTTCTCTGGCTGCTGCTGCCCTCCCTCACAGCCACTGCCTCACTGGGCATGAGGACTGTTTGTCCCTGGGCTGGGAGCATGGTACTCTGGACATAAAGCAGAACAGCACAGCTTCTGAGCTCTGCCCTATGTAGTGTGTAAAGGGTCTCAGCTGTAGGGAGCCAGCACTGGGACTGTGACAGCCCACACTAGGTAGATGTCACCCTGTCCCACTGCTCTGCTTTCTCCTTGTGTCACAAAGGATACTGTGGGCTCTGCACCAAGGAGAAGCCAGGGCTTTACACTCCTGGGAGCATGCACCATCACCCACTGCTACTTGTGGCGGGATAAGGTGAGGCCTCATTGTTTAACTGGTGCTCAGTGGTGTGGCAGCAGCTCTCTGGCCACAGAGCAAAACAC